CCCACCCCGCCACGGACAATGTCTATCACACTGCTTTTCATGCTTGTGTTTTTTTTAGATTTTGTCTCCCAATGGAGTTGCCTGCTCCTATCCGCTGCTCGCTCCCTGCAAGCTTGAGCTTCCTTTATCTTCTCAGCCTTCCGGTTTATGCTCATCTTGGCAGATATCTTGACAACAATCAACTCACTGGCACAATTCCTGCTTCAATGGGGAACTTTGCAGACCTGACTTATCTGTGAGCCCCCTGCAAGGTCGTAGCTTGGCTGTACTCCAGGTTCTTCTCTCTACTCTCCTCCATTTGTCCGCCTTTAGATGCTAGTGCTGACCCATGCACTCCATTTACCCCTCTTCCCTCTTATCCACTCGCATCAGTTCCGCTGACCACCACCCTCTCCTTCGCTGTATCCTGTGGTTTTGGTGTCAGAAGAGTAGGTTGAAATGATTACTTAAAAATGGAAGCACTAGGCCTTAAGTACAAACATGGTTGAACTTGAATAAGGCTAGGGAATGAAAATTTGACCAACTCTCCAATGGCGAGTTGGGAGATTGGTTAGATTACGAGGGACCTCAACCAGAGAAGGTTGAGATTACAAAGAAACACTCAACCTACGAATTGCCTATGTGATACAAAAGATATCTCGGAGATGCTATGCTGACAGCTGATACTTGGCACTAGTAGTGCACATGCGACTTTAGCCATGAGATCTTGCATAAGAAGGTGGAAGTGATTTGAAGGTTGCAGAATGACCACCACACAGTACGTTGTCTGTCCGCAGACATGCAACTGAGTCTGAGACAACTGTGGGAACACCTCAATGCTGGTTGGTAAGTGCAATTGAAGCCAAGTTGCTATCCAGAGCCGAGGTTTCGAGTGCCTGCTGCTCTCAGATTATGGGAAATTGGCAAGACACACAAATTGCACGTCTCTCCTCACTTCTCCTGTCCCCTTCATCAATCGCCACTGCCCCACGGACAATGTCCATCGTGCTGTATTTGATGCCTTCGTCGCATTCTTAGGGATTTCGCCTTCTAATAGAGTTGCTCGCTTGTATCCGTCGCTCGTTGTCATGCAAGCCAGAGAGATATTCCTATATCTACTGCATACCCATCCATTCCCATCGTTGCAGATCAATTTCGCACAATCAGCTCAATGGCACAATTCCTGCTGAAATCGGCAACCTTGCAAAACTGAAGATATTGTGAGCTCCCTGCAATGACGTTGCTTGGCCGTACTCCATCTACTTCTCCTTTGTACTTTACGCCATTTATCCTCCTTTTGATGCTAGTCCATTCGACCCATGCATTCCATTGACCCCTCTTTCTTTATATCCACTCGCATCAGCTCCACTGACCACCACCCTCTCCTTCACTGTATCCTGTTGGGGAAGCCACTCTGCTGTCTAGAGCCGAGGGTTTGAGTGCCTGTTAGGCTCAGATTTCGGGCAATTGGCAAGGCGCTCTTACAAATCCTTTACAAGCCTAAGGTCTCCCTGATAAATTTCGTCCATGCTTTCCTCTCGTCCCTCTTTATTGCCCTTGTCCGTTTCCCCTCCTCCCTCTTTATGTTCTTTTATACATCCTTTCTCCCCCATTCCTTTCATAACCTTTTGTCCTTTCCAGTCCTGTAACCTCAAATCCCTTTTATTCTTCTTGCATCCCTCCTTTCTTCCCCTCACACCTCTCTCACCCTCCTTTCCTCCTAATTTCTTTCCTTTCACTTTGTATCCTACCTTGGTTTAGCCTCTCTTCTTCATCTTACCGCTCTCCTGCCTGTGCTCATTCCATGCATGCCTGACATGCCTTGAGGCAGGCAATGATCTCGTCTTTCTCTGCTTACCTCCATCCCATGCCACGGTCAGCACACATCCCACAATGTGCTGCCTTTCTTGCCTCGGTTGCATTCTCAGGGATAGCCCCTTCTAGTGGAATTGCATGCCCATATCCAGCGCTCGTTGCCATAAGAACTTAAGGTTCCTATATCTACCGCATGCGCATTCATACTCATGGCTGCAGAGGATTGTATAACAATCAACTCACTGGCACAATTCCTGCTTTAAACCTTCCTCAACTGAACAGTCTGTAAGCCCCCTGGCAAAACCTTTGCTTGGCTGTACTCCAGGCACTTATTCTCTCTACACATGGTCCTTTCTCCTCCCCTCTCCCACCGCTCATTCTATGCATGCCTGAACTCGCCTTTCTCACCTCTCCTGCCCCAAATTCATCCCCTGCCACTGTCAGCACACATCCCACCCCAGCACGGACAATGTCCATCGCACTGCTAATCATGCTTCTGTTTTCAGAGATTTTGCCTCCCAATTATGTTGCTTGCTCCTATATGCTGCTCGCTCCCTGCAACCTGAGCTTCCTTTATCTTCTCTGTCTGCCCGTTTATGCTCATCTTGGCAGATATCTTGATAACAATCAACTCACTGGCACAATTCCTGCTTCAATAGGGAACCTTACAGACCTGACTTATCTGTGAGCCCCCTGCGAGGCCGTAGCTTGGCTGTACTCCAGGTTCTTCTCCTCTCTACTCTCCTCCAGTTGTCCGCCTTTAGATGCTAGTGCTGGCCCATGCACTTTATTTACCCCTCCTCCTTCTTATCCACTCGCATCAGTTCTGCTGACCACCACCCTCTCCTTCGCTGAATCCTGTGGTTTTGGTGTCAGAAGAGTAGGTTGAATTGATGGCTTATGAAAGAAAGCACTACCGTTGGGTTTGAGAAAGGTTACGGAACGATAATCTGACCGAATCTCCAATGGTGAGATTACGGGGCGGCCTCTACCATGTAACATTGATGTTACAAAGATACAATCAACCTAAAAATAACCTATGTGATACAAAGTATATTTCACAGGTGCTGACAGCCTTACAGTTTCACTTGGTACGAGTAGTGCACATGCGGCTTTAGCCATGAGATCTTGGATAAGAAGGTGGAAGTAATCTGAGTGGAATGACCACCACACACTTCATTGTCTGTCTGCAGACATGCAACTGAGTCCAACATAAATCTCCTCAGTGCCGGTAAGTAAGGGAGGTTGAAGCCAAGTTGCCATCTAGAACCGTGGGATCGAGTGGCTGCTGCTCTCAGATTACGGGAAATTGGCAAGGCACGCAAAGTGCACGTCTCTCCTCACTTCTCCTGTCCCCATCATCAACCGCCAGTGTCCCACGGACAATGGCCATCGTGCTGCATTTGATTCCTTCGTTGATTTTTTTAAATCTCTCCGCTTATAGAGTTGCTTGCTTATATCTGTTGCTTGTTGTCATGCAAGCCTGAGAGATATTTCGTTATCTACCGCGAACCCATACATTCTCATCATTGCAGATCAATTTCTCACAATCAGCTCAGTGGCACAATTCCTATTGAAATCGGCAACCTGGCAAAACTTAAAAGAATGTGAGCTCCCGGCAGTGCCTTTGCTTGGTTATACTTGAGCTACTTCTCCTTTCTACTTCACCTCGAAAATCCATTTGCATGAAATTGGCATGCAATTGAGTGATCGGGAAACAATGTTGTGAGTGTCATTAGCGTGCCGTGCAGGGCAGTTAGTTCTGCATCAGCAGCCTTGATCCTTTCAGCAGCATCAGGGCTGGTGCAGGTCTCATGAATGGTTTGAGGTTCGTAATGATGATGAAGGGCAGAATTGACGGAGGTATACCTGGGCGTCCGAGCAAGTTACTCGCCTCGTGACTTCCGAGTAACTCGTCCAGGGGCGAGTAACGAGGACTCGTTTTGGCAATTATTGCTCTTCTGAGCCGACGCGAGTTTTTTGTACTCGCCGAGTACTCGGCTCGGGCTTCTTTACAAGCATTTTTGACAACTTGAGCGATTTTGCCAGCAAATACGCGCAAATCTGCGTTCGCCAGCAGATCCGCACAGATCCACGATTTCGCCAGCAGATTCGCACAGATCTGCAATTTCGCCAGCAGAACAGGCGATGTCTACCACTGGTCGTGTCAATCGCTATGCTCAGATCTTGCTTTTGGTCGAGCAAAGCAACCATTTTTTCCGGTTCCCCACCAATGAGTGCACTTGGCACGTGTTCCCTTAACATCGGGAATGCTGAAAACATTGAAGCGCTTGTAGATAGGGTGGTCTAACGTCTCCTCGTAATGCACCATGCTAGATGCAGCCCTCGAGGCACTTGCATCCACGCTAGGGACGGATGCTGGTGTGGAAGACACCGTGACGTTAAGCAAACAGAAGAAATAGATGTACTAGTGTAGATCTGGTCGTAGACGTCAATTTTAACATAGGAACGCGGGGTGCACGGACCTCAAAGCCCAAGAGGTGGAGACTCAAGAGGTGGAGGGAATAGGGGAATAGCATTGTTGCTGCTGAGGAGGAGAGGAAAGAAACACGGCAACGGTTGTGGAGATGTGCCAACAAACCGGTGAGGGTGCCCAGGTGGTAGAGATGGCGGTTTGTTGGATAAGGGAGGGGTAAATATGGAAATATGAGGCGATTTTGTTCTCGACTCGTACTAGATACTAAAAAGGCTTGAGTTTTAATTTTCGCGTAAACAAAAACTTTCTATTTTAGCTTGGTTCTTCTATGCCCAAGCATGTCAGCACATTATTAGGTCACAGCCCCAAATCTGCGCCCACATGTCACAGCCTCTCCCACCTCATGTCAGTCAGATTTTTCCATTTCCTGCAAATTAGGTCTTGTGGGGGAACTGGGGGTTAAAGTGTGGGGCGGAAGCGGTCTTCGAGTCGAGTTTTCCAAGAACTTGGTCGAGTGTGTTTGAAATCGGCAGAGTTTTACAAAAACTAGGGCGAGTTTTGAGTCACCCGGTAGTTAGAAAAAAAGTCGTCGGCTTTCCTCGACTCGTCTTGTGGCAGTCAAAACGAGTCAACTAAATCTCGAATCGTCATTCTCTCATGTATAAAAAGGGGTGCGCGTGTTGACTGTGCGCTTGTTTCTTCCCTCCCCTCCATCATTTCTCCTCTTGACTCTGTTCCTGACCTGTGCCATTTGCGCTCATTGTCGCAGATTTATTGGGGACAATCAGCTCACTGGCTCAATCCCCACTACAATGGGCATCCTTACCAAGCTGCAGCAACTGTAACGAAACCAGTGTGGTTCAGGGGTTGAACCACCATGAACAGATTACAGTTCGGGCTGTCAAGTCTGAGCCTGAAGGTGTTTTGGTGCAGCTCAGCTGGAGCCAGTCCAAGTTTGGTTGCCTGAAGTCTGTTTCAAAAGAAAACTTTGTATGAAACACATGGAGTTGCTTTCTCGTATGTGTCGGTCGTTGCCATGCAAAATTGAGCTCCCTATATCTACCGTATACCCATACATACCCATTTTTGCAGATCATTTGCTAACAATCAGCTCGCTGGCACAATTCCTACTGAAATAGGCCGCCTCACGAAGCTCCAGCACCTGTGAGTCTTGAGCATGTACTGGACCCGAACCGGTGTAGGCCGAACCTGGTCGAACCAGTTCAGGTCGAACCTGGTTTGAGTCGAACTTCTGCAATTCGAGTCGAACTTTCTGCAATTCGAGTCGAACTTCTGCAATCCGAGTCTAACTTCTGCAACCAGGAGTGTGATAACGAGGCCTTGGCCGGCTCGAGGCAAATCTCCAATTCTGGTTCCATGGTCGTGTGTACCTGAGTGCAACGCCCTTGCATCCTCGCCACCTCATTCCTCTCCAACCCCCTTGTGCCGGTTCCCTTCTCTAGGCCGATACAGGCAAGTTTCACTTAGCTGCTGGCCTTTTCTTTCCTTTCGAATGTCCTGCTCTGCTGCACCCTATGTTGGAGGGTCCCCATCTCTAGCTGCTGATAGGCATGAGTATGGTCCAGGCCAGGGCCGGCCAGGGAGTGGCCCGACCGGGCCAGCCCGTCTCGGGCCAACCTGGCAATAATTCTGGCCCTCGGCTTTAGAGCCATGTGCGGGCTTGGTCGGGTCGGGCCGGGCAAGGCCGGGGCCAGCCTGGGTTGGGCCAGCCGTGGACCAAGGTGCGCGCTCCCAAGGAGGGTTGCGCGAGCTGCTGGGGAATGGGCAAATGAAAGAGTGAGGTTGCGCGCAGGGTAGACAAGCGTTAGAGTGTCGTTCGACAATGGCTCACCCGAGCGTCAAGAGTCCAGACCCTAGCGTCCCGGATCCTTAACACGGCATGAGAGGAGTGAATTGTCCAATGGATAAACGTAGAGAACATACATGCCAATGCATACATGGTACATACATGGATGAAATTGTTGGTTAGGCTGGCTGGACCAACACACGGGCTACGTAAGTTGTCGGGTTACCTTGAACCAGCATTACTGGAGGCCCAATAAGTATTAAGGAACCCAACCAAGCTGCAAACGCAAATTGTACTTGGAGGTACACCCAACAAGCCAACACATTTTCTACCATATTCATTTCTAACCATTACAAAACCATTACAAAAGTGTAGAAGCCAAGGGTTCGAGTGCCTGGTTTGCTTAGATTCATTGACAAGGTACTCTTTCAAACCCTTTTTGGGCATAAGGCTATTAGAACTTGAGCTTGAACTGATACATTAGTAATGTGCTCAAGGCTCTTTAAGTACATGCGATTGGTGAGCAAGGAATGGATGGGGAAGAAATCAGGGAAATCCTAGAAGGATTGGCTGAAATATCCAATTGTTGGGTTGGAGATTTCAGGTACATGTGAGGTTGGTTGGAGTGTAGGTGTACACCCAACCCAACCAACACAAAGTACAAACTACACTAAGGTAGGATATAAAACTGCAAGTACAATAGTTGAGATTGAGGGCTAACTGTAACAAAGGCCTCTCTGTTCCATCTCCTCCCTCCTTGCGCGTCCCTCTTGAATGCACTTGTGTTGTTCCCATTGACCCCCTACCAGTGTCAGTAAACGTCCCACAATGTGCTGCCTTTCTTGCCTCGGTTGTGCTGCCTTTCTTGCCTCCGTTGCATTCTCAGGGATAGCGCCTTCTAGTGGAGTTGCGTGCTCATATCCGGCTCTCATTGTCATGCGAATTTGAGGTTCCTACATTTACTGCATGCGCATTCATACTCATCGCTGCAGATCGTTTTCTAACAATATGCTCAATGGCACAATTCCCACTGCATTCAGCAACCTTGGAAAACTGACAGTGCTGTAAGCACCCGATAAGGCCTTTGCTTGGATTGGATGTACTCCAGGTAACTATCATCTCTACTCTCGCGCGTATCTCGTACTTTTAATGCTAGTCGTGACCCATGCACTCCACTTTCCTCTCTTCCTTCTTATCCACCCTATAGATGACCATTTGCCGCTCGGGTCGGGCCGGGCCGACCCGACCCGTGGCAGTGGTTTCATTTGCCTGCCCCGTTCGGGCCGACCCGACCCGACCCGAGCAAAAACCCGACTCGAGTATGGAACTCGGGCCGGGTCGGGTCGGGTGTGGGTGCTTGACCCGACCCGAATTCGGGTCAAGACCAGGGATATCAGGTCGGGCTTTTGGCCCGACCCGATTTCGACACAGAGGGCACGAAACCCTCTTCCACATTGTGATCGAGGGATTTTTTATCCCCTCGACAACAGAACCTACCCACGCTCTCAATCTTGCCTAACGGCAGCAAGCAAGTCACTTAAGCTTAGAAACTACTCAGTTAGGGCCCGTTCAAACCTCATCTACAGACATTTACAGCTACTTTACTATCGTATCCTGCTGTTCACAGAAAATCGCGATGCAGGAATGGAGTTTTTTTATAACTTCGCGTTTTACTAGCTATACTTCAATTCACACCCTGCTCCCTCTAAAGGGCGGGTCAGACTGTCCCGACCCGACCCGATCCGCGACCAGGTCAGACCCGGCCAGGTCGGCTCATCTCTAATCCACCGTCATCAGCTCCGCTAACCACCACCCTCTCCTTCGCATCCTGTGGTCTTTGTACTAGTAGTGCAATGGAATTGATTGCTCCTATTTTCTGCTCGCTCCATGCCAGCTTGGCAGATACCTTAATAAGAATCAACTCACTGGCACAATTCCTGCTTCAATGTGGAACTTTGCAGACCTGAATTATCTGTAAGCCCCCTGCAAGGCCTTCGCTTGGCTGTACTCCAGGTTCTTCTCCTCTCTACTCTCCTCCAGTTGTTCGCCTTTAGATGCTAGTCCTGACCCATGCACTCCATTTACCCCTCTTCCTTCTTATCCTCTCGCATCAGTTTTGCTGAACACCACCCTCCCCTTCGCTGTATCCTGTGGTTTTGGTTTCAGAAGAGTAGGTTGAATTGATGGCTTATAAAAGAAAGCTCTACGGTTGGGTTTGAGAAAGGCTAGGGAATGAGAATCCAACCGATTCTCCAATGGTGAGTTGGAAGATTTAGGGTTGAGCAAGGTAACGAACACCTGTTCGGTTCGTCTCGATGGGCTGCCCTTGAGAAAAAACGTTGGGCATTTTTTTATCTATCTCAAAGTATTCCTATTTTTTTTACACCCTATTGTTTTCACGGATTTGTTTTGGGCTAAAAATGTTCGTGGCGAACGTCTTCGGTGTTCGCCCGAACAAGTTCGGTGTTCGTCTCGTCGTGGGTGCCGAGCCGCGACGAACACGAACACGTTCGTGTTCGTTTTGGGGCAAAAACGAACACGAATGTGTTCGTCGCGAATGTCCCGCGATCTACAATTTAGGTCGCGGGACATTCTGTTTGAGCTCAAATTTGAGCTCAAACTTAGTCGTGCTATTCAGCAACAGCCATTACTACCACGCCCCCCACACATCACGCCATTATCACCTCATTAGGACTTAGCGTAAGTAAATTGTGACCTTGGGTTAGTCTCACTAGACTTGGGTAGGTGAGATCTAGGTTTTCGGGAAGGGATTAGACAGGAATACTGCAGAATCTCGTAAGTTAGGGGTTGGGGGTAACCATTCGCAAATTTCGTAAGCAAGAGATGGGGGAAAGCATTCGTGAATTGCTCAAGTTGGGGATTGGTAGGAATAGCGTTCGCAAATTTTGTTAGTTGGGGGATTGTGGGGGGGTGGCGAGCAATCGCAAATTTCGTAGATCTAGAGGTGGGAGAGCATTTCGCCTTATGTGGGGGGGAAATCCAGGTGGCGAGCTGGATAAGCAAAAATATGGATAACTAACTAGCACAAGCCAGATCCAGCCTATATTTTTTTTCCCCAGTTTCCCGCAATTCCTCTGCCCGCCGTTGCGTATTTCGAGCGTAACAGAGGTTGCCCAAAAGAGAATACGAACGTGCTTGCCACGAACCAATGCCTTCACAAGCGAACACCTTTTTTGGGGGAAGGTGTTCGGCAAACCGAACAGTGTTCGGTTCGCCGAACAGCGGTGTTCGTGCAGGGGCGAACGCGAACATGTTCGTGTTCGCCTCTTGCTGATCTTTAGGAAGATTGGTTTGATTACGGGGGGGCCTCAATCAGGTAAGTTTGAGATCACAAAGATGCAATCAACCTATAAATAACCTACGTGATATAGGATATATTTCACAGATGCTGACAGACTCTATCACTTGGTACTAGTAGTAGTGCACATGCTCTTTAGCCATGAGATCTCGGATAAGAAGTTGGAAGTAATTTGAAGCGTGTGGAATGAACACCACACACTACGTTGTCTATTTCCAGACATGCAACTGAGTCTGACACTACTCTGGGAACATCCCAGTGCCGGTTGTTCGAGTGCCTGCTGCTCTCAAATCGCAGGAGATTGGCAAGGCACGCAAAGTGCACGTCTCTCCTCACTTCTCCTGTCCCCTTCATCGATCGCCAGTGTCCCACGGAATCCATCGTGCTGCATTTGATGCCTTCGTCGCATTCTTAGGGATCTCACCTTTTAATAGAGTTGCTCGCTTGTATCCGTCGCTTGTTGTCATGCAAGCCTGAGGGAGATTCCTTTATCTACCGCATTACCATTTATTCTCTTCGTTGCAGATCACTTTCTGGCAATCAGCTCAGTGGCACAATTTCGGCTGAAATCAGCAACCTTGCAAAACTGAACGGAATGTGAGCTCCCGGCAATGCCATTGCTTGACCGTAGTCCAGCTTGTACTTTCCGCTATTTCTCCTCTATTTGATGCTAGTCCTGAACCATGCACTCCATTGACCCCTCTTTCTTTATATAGCTCCACTGACCACCACCCTCTACTTCACTGTATCCTGTTGGGGAAGCCACTCTGCTGTCTAAAGCCGAAGGTTTGAGTGCCTGTTGGGCTCAGATTCCAGGCAATTGGCAAGGCTCTCTTACAAATCCTTTAGACGCCTGATGCCTTTCTGCTACACTTCACTGGCCTTGTCAGAGTCCGTTCTTCCCTCTCTGTGAGATTTTATACAACCTTTCTCCGCCATTCCGTCTAAAACCTTCTATCCTTTCCAGTCCTGTAACATCAAATCCTTTGCATTCTTCTTGCATCCCTCCCTTCCTCCCCTCACACCCCTCTCATCCCTCCTTTCCTCCTGATTTCCTTCCTTTCCCTTTTAGTCCTACCTTCGTTTCGCCTCTCTTCTTCCAACTTCCACCGCTCCCTTGCCTGAGCTCATTCTATGCATGCCTCATATGCCTTGGGGCAGGCAAGAATCTTGTCTTTCTCTGGCCCCATCCATCCCATGCCACGGTCAGCACACATTCCACCCACCACGAGCAATACCCATCGCAGATTCCCCCTATTGCGCTTTTAGAAGATTTTTTCCCCTATGGAATTGCTTGTTCCCATCTGCTGCTCATCGTGGCAGATCTCTTTCTCACAATCAACTGACTGGCACAATTCCCTCTACAATAAGCACCCTCACAAAGCTGACTTTACTGTGAGTGACGCATGAGCTAAGCTAAGTATTGAAGCCGAACTGGCGGCCAGCGTAGTCGTACCAAACTACTATTATTTAGGGTTAGAAACTACTTCTCTTTCGAAAATGAAAGGGTTTGTGTTGAGAACTCAAGTCTTTATGGACGAATTTATGGATGCATATACGAGATGAAGTTCTGGGGAACTTGGTGAAGTACCCAAGGCATAATTGGTGGACCAATTGAGAACGGCCATAGAATTATGGTTCCGGCTGACCGTTAATGATTGAAGGGGGCCCAATAATAGTTGGGATAATCCAACCAAGCTGCCCCTTTCAATTGTGGTCGCGTGGGTTTTCGGTGCACCCAACCAAAATTGGTTGGGGTGCCTTGGAACAAAGCGTACACCCAGACTTTGGGAGTTGAACTTGCTGAATGATAACACAGGTATGCTATAATCCACTTCGAACCTCAAGCGGTTCAAGTTGAACTTCACATTGCAAATTTCAGGTATCTTATTCTTTCACCATCGTAGGGGCATCCGCGAGGAGGGTACGGTATGCTATACCTAGGCAATCTAGCACGGTTACGACCGATGGATGGTGTTTTTACCACTGTACAATGCAATTTCATCTCCTGCCTGGGTTAGTTCGAGGCGAAGTTGTTTGACTTGAACCGGTCCGGGTTTGGTCCTATGCTCGTGTGTACCTGTGAGCCCCTGTGCAACGCCTTCACATCCTCGCCACCTCACTCCCCTCCTGCCCTACTCTTTCTCCTTCTCTAGGCTGATGAAGTCAGATTTCGCTTAGCTACTGGCCTCTGCTTTTCTTTCGATTCCACTGCTCTAGTGCAACCTATGTTGGACCTGATGCGTTAAGGGTTTGAGAAAAATCGCGAACCCCTGTTCGGTTCATCACAAATGCGTTTGTTTTTTTTCCCAAAAACGTTCAGAACGAAAGCCCCCCCCGTTCGTCACGAACGTGTTCTTGATGGTCGTCTCGTTCGTGGGAAACAGGGTGAACGCAAATGCGCTCTGCCGTACGCCCTGTGGGTCTGTAGTGAACAAACCCGTCATTTTAGCTCAAAGTGAGCTCAAACAAGCAGATCCGCAATTTTTTCCCTCCCTACATACAGCCGCTAGAAAGGCATGAATTAGAGCATTTCGGTCAAGGGTAGTTACTAAGGAGATGACGTAAATAGGGTTTAATGCGTTGTTGGTCGACATTTCAATAGCGTATTTTTGTTATACGGTGCGACTCTGGCGTGCAGCCACTACACTAACCTTTTACTTTGTATTGCCTACTCTAGGACATTAGGATGTTTAGAGCGTTTCGCCCTCGTTTCGGTGGTGTAGGATGGTACCGAAACCCGAACAGGTTCGAGTTCGCCTCAAACTGAACAGGTTCGCCTCTAACTCTGATCATAAACAAGCAAACACCTACATCAGGAAATTTGTTCGGGGCAAATCGAACGTGTTCGCCAACCTTCGCTGAGGTTCTTGGCAAACACGTTTGTGTTCGCCATTTGCTCATGTCTAGTTAAGATCCCAAACGTTAGGGTCCGGACTCTTGACGCTCAGCTGAGCCACTGTCGGACGATCCCCTAGCGCCACTGTCGGCTGAGCCACTGCCTGACTGTCGGTCCTGACCAGACCCTGTTACCCTGTTTCTTGACCCGAATTTGGGTCGGGTCGAAGTCGACCCGATTCCCGACCCGACCAGTCGGGTCGGTTTTTCTGTCCGGACTTGACCCGGCCGGGCCAGCCCATTGAAGGGCCTGACCCGACTTGGGCGAATTCCCGGGTCGGGTCGGGCCGGCCCGACCCGACCAAGCAGGCCTTTTGCTCAAGCCTAAGGGAAAGGCGCGACGTTCAGCGCTGGACGGGGGTGGGCAGGGAGCGCGACCAAGCGGCACGGGGACGAGCAGGGTTAGGTCACGGATGCTCACAGGCTGTATGTCACAACGAGAGGGCAGACCGCGAGACGACAGAACTTGAACGTGGGTCTGTGGGAGGACAAAAACTGTCTGATATTGCTGGAAAGTCAAATTAAATAATAGTTCCATGCACATAAAATTAATCATTTTGCAGAAATAAAACCATATTTGCAACCGAAATTTGTCAACGAGAAAAGAGAAGGCCTTATTGCTCCAAATTTTTCTCTCTCTAATCTGAAACAACTAGATTTCGTGCCTCGGCTTGCTCCTATCCGGCGCTCGTTGCCATGCGAACTTAAGGTTCCTATATCTACCTCATTGCTGCAGAGGATTGCGTGACAATCATCTCACTGGCACAATTCCTGCTTTAAACCTTCCTCAACTGAATAGTCTGTAAGCCCCCGGCAAAGCCTTTGCTTGGCTGTACTCCAGGCACTTGCTGTGTCTCGTCCTTTTGACCCTTTCACTCCATTGACCCCTCTTTCTTCATATCCACCCTCATCAGCTCCGCTAATCACCACCCTCTCCTTCGCTGTATGCTGTGGTGTTGGCAGTAGTAGTGCACATGTGTCTGGAGACATGTGATTTTGAATTGCAAGATAGATGTGATTCGAGGGTGTGGAATGACCACACACTGCACTACAGTGTCTTTCCACAAAACAGCGAACTGAGACTGACACAACTCTGGCTAACACTTCTCTGGTAAAGGAGAGTGGAGCTCTTCTGTCAACACACATCCCACCCCAACAAACATTGCACTTATTGCTCTGCTTTTAATGCTTGTGTTTTTAGGGATTTCGCCTTTTAATGAAGTTGCTTGCTCCTATTCGCTGCTTGCTCCCTGCAAGCTTGAGCGTCCTTTATCTTCTCTGCATGCCCGTTTATGCTCATCTTGGCAGATTGCTTCATGCCAATCAACTCACTGGCACAATTCCTGCTTTAAACCTTCCTCAACTGAACAGTCTGTAAGCCCCCGGCAAAGCCTTTGCTTGGCTGTACTCCAGGCACTAATTCTCTCTACTCTTGGCTGCGTCTCGTCCTTTTGACCCATTCACTCCATTGACCCCCCTTTCTTCATATCCACCCTCATCAGCTCCGCTGATCACCACCCTCTCCTTCGCTGTATGCTGTGGTTTTGGCAGTAGTAGTGCACATGTGTCTGGAGACATGTGATTTTGAATTGCAAGATAGATGTGATTCGAGGGTGTGGAATGACCACACACTGCACTACAGTGCCTGTCCACAAAACAGCGAACTGAGACTGACACAACTCTGGCTAACACTTCTCTGGTAAAGGAGAGTGGAGCACTTCTGTCAACACACATCCCACCCCAACAAACATTGCACTTATTGCACTGCTTTTCATGCTTGTGTTTTTAGGGATTTTGTCTTTTAATGAAGTTGCTTGCTCCTATTCGCTGCTTGCTCCCTGCAAGCTTAAGCGTCCTTTATCTTCTCTGCCTGCCCGTTTATGCTCATCTTGGCAGATTGCTTCATGCCAATCAACTCACTGGCACAATTCCTGCTTCAATAGGGAACTGTGCAGACCTGAATTTTCTGTAAGCCCCCTGCGAGGCCTTTGCTTGGCGGAACTCCAGGTTCCTCTCCTCTGTACTCTCCTCCAGTTGTCCTCCTTTTGATGCCAGTCCTGACTGAGAGAATGTGAAAGGAACCGATACATTGATTAGGAATGGCAAGGTTTACATAGTTAGGCTAGGTTGGAGGATCCTTGCCAGCATTATTGGCCTTGGGTTGAGGAGTTATTGGGGGGACCAATAATGTTGACCAAAGTGGGTTGAGAAAGGCTAGGGAATGGAAAATCCAACCGATTCTCTAGTAATAAGTTGGAAGAGTGGTTTGATTACGAAGGGAACTCAACCAGGTAAGGTTGAGAATACAAAGATACATTGAACTCAACCGATAAATAACCTACGTGATACAATTCTGGGAACACCTCAGTGCCGGTTGGTTGTTAAGGGAGAGTGAAGCCAAGTTGCTATCTAGAGCCAAGGTTTCAAGTGAGTGCTGCTCTCAGATCACGAGAATTTGGCAAGGGTAACAAAGTGCACGTCTCTCCTCACGTCTAGTGTCCCCATCATCAATCGCCAGTGTCCCACGGACTGACAATGTCCATTGTGCTGCATTTGATGCCTCCGTTGCATTCTTAGGGATCTCGTCTTCTAATAGAGTTGCTCGCTTGTATCCGTCGGTCGTTGTCGTGCAAGCCTCAGAGATATTCCTATACTTACCGCATCCATTCTCATCATTGCAGATCACTTTATGACAATCAGCTCAGTGGCACAATTCCCGCTGAAATCGGCAACCTTGCAAAACTGAACGACTTGAGAGCTCTCGGCAATGCCTTTGCTTGTCTGTAATCCATCTACTTCTCCTTTGTACTTTTCGCCATTTCTCCACCTTTTGATGCTAGTCCTGACTGATGCACTCCATTGACCCCTCTTTCTTTATATCCACTCGCATCAGCTCCACTGACCACCACCCTCTCCTTCACTGTATCCTGTTGGGGAAGCCACACTGCTGTCTAGAGCCGAGGGTTTGAGTGTTTGGGCTCAGATTTCGGGCAATTGGCCAAGGCTCTCTTACAAATCCTTTACACGCCTAAGGCCTCTCTGCTACATTTCCTCCTTGCTTCTCTCTCGTCCCTCTCAATTGCCCTTATCCGTTTTCCCTCTTCCCTCTCTATGTTCTTTCATGCATCCTTTCTCCCCTGTTCCTTCTATAACCTTCTGTCCTTTCCAGTCCTGTAACCTCAAATCCCTTGCGTTGTTCTTGCATCCATCCCTTCCTCTCCCATACCTCTCTCATGCCTCCTTTCCTCCTGATTACCTTCGTTTTCCTTTAAATCATACCTTGGTTTCGCCTCTCTCCTTCCACCTTCCACAGCTCTCTTGCCTGTGCTTATTCTAAGCATATCTGAACTCGTCTTTCTCACGTCTCCTGCCCCAAATTCATCCCCTGCCACTGTCAGCACATATCCCACCCCACCACGGACAATGTACATCGCACTGCTTTTCATGCTTGTGTTTTTTGATAGTTTGTCTCCCAATGGAGTTGCTTGCTCCTATCCGCTGCTCGCTCCATGCAAGCTTGAGCTTCCTTTATCTTCCCTGCCTGCCCGTTTATGCTCATCTTGGCAGATATCTTGATAACAATCAACTCACTGGCACAATTCCTGCTTCAATGGGGAACTTTGCAGACCTGACTTATCTGTGAGCCCCCTGCGAGATCGTAGCTTGGCTGTACTCCAGGTTCTTCTCCTCTCTACTCTCCTCCAGTTGTCCCCCTTTAGATGCTAGTGCTGGCCCATGCACTCCATTTACCCCTCTTCCTTCTTATCCACTCACATCACTTCCGCTGACCACCACCCTCTCCTTCGCTGTATCCTGTGGTTTTGGTGTCAGAAGAGAAGGTTGAAATGACCACTTAAAAATGGAAGCACTAGGCCTTAAGTACAAACATGGTTGAACTCGAATAAGGCTAGGGAAAGATAATCCAACCAACTCTCCAATGGCGAGTTGGGAGATTGGTTAGTATACGTGGGAGCTCAATCAGAGAAGGTTGAGATTACAAAGAATCACACAACCTACGAATTGCCTATGTGATACAAAAGATATCTCGGAGATGCTATGCTGACAGCTGATACTTGCTACTAGTAGTGCACATGCGACTTTAGCCATGAGATCTTGCATAAGAAGGTGGAAGTGATTTGAAGGTTGCGGAATGACCACCACACAGTACATTGTCTGTCCGCAGACATGCAACTGAGTCTAACACAACTCTGGGGAACACCTCAGTGCTGGTTGGTAAGTGCAATTGAAGCTAAGCTGCTATCCAGAGCCGAGGTTTCGAGTGCCTGCTGCTCTCAGATTATGGGAAATTGGCAAGACACACAAAGTGCACGTCTCTCCTCACTTCTCCTGTCCCCTTCATCAATCGCCAGTGTTCCACGGACAATGTCCATCGTGCTGCATTTGATGCCTTCGTCGCATTCTTAGGGATTTCGCCTTCTAATAGAGTTGCTCGCTTGTATCCGTCGCTCGTTGTCATGCAATCCAGAGAGATATTCCTATATCTACTGCATACCCATCCATTCCCATCGTTGCAGATCAATTTAGCACAATCAGCTCAATGGCACAATTCCTGCTGAAATCGGCAACCTTGCAAAACTGAAGATATTGTGAGCTCCCTGCAATGCCGTTGCTTGGCCGTACTCCATCTACTTCTCCTTTGTACTTTACGCCATTTATCCTCCTTTTGATGCTAGTCCATTTGACCCATGCATTCCATTGACCCCTCTTTCTCTATATCCACTCGCATCAGCTCCACTGACCGCGACCCTCTCCTTCTCTGTATCCTGTTGGGGAAGCCACAATGCTGTCTAGAGCCGAGGGTTTGAGTGCCCGTTGGGCTCAGATTTCGGGCAATTGGCAAGGCTCTCTTACAAATCATTTACAAGCCTAAGGCCTCTCTCATAAATTTCGTCCATGATTTCCTCTCGTCCCTCTTTATTGCCTTGTCCGTTTCCCCTCCTCCCTCTTTTTGTTCTTTTATACATCCTTTGTCCCCCATCTCTTCTTGCATCCCTCCTTTCTTCCCCTCACACCTCTCTCACCCTCCATTCCTCCTAATTTCTTTCCTTTCCCTTTTTATCCTACCTTGGTTTAGCCTCTCTTCTTCCATCTTCCACCGCTCTCCAGCCTGTGCTCATTCTATGCATGCCTAACATGCCTTGAGGCAGGCAATGATCTCGTCTTTCTCTGCTTGCCTCGGTTGCATTCTCAGGGATAGCACCTTCTAGTGGAGTTGCGTGCCCATATCCAGCACTCGTTTCCATGAGAACTTAAGGTTCCTATATCTACCGCATGCGCATTCATACTCATCGCTGCAGAGGATTGTACAACAATCAGCTCACTGGCTCAATTCCTGCTTTAAACCTTCTCAACTGAACAGTCTGTAAGCCCCCAGCAATGCCTTTGCTTGGCTGTACTCCAGGCACTAATTCTCTCTACTCTCGGTTGCGTCTTGTCCTTTTGACCCATTCACTCCATTGACCCCTCTTTCTTCATATCCACCCTCATCAGCTCCGCTGATCACCACTCTCTCCTTCACTGTATGCTGTTGGGTTGGCACTAGTACTGCACATGCGTCTGGATAGCAAGGTAGAATTGATTTTAGGGTGTGGAATGACCACGCACAGCGAACTGAGACTGACACTTCTGTGCCGGTTGGTAAAGGAGAGTGAATCCACAGTGCTGTCTAGAGCTGAGGGTTTGAGCGGATTGATTTTCAAGTGGCTAAAATTCTTCCACGAGTGGATGGCTACTCTGCTACATTCCCCCCTTGCTTCTCGCTCGTCCCTCTTGATTGCTCTTGTCCATTTCCCCTCCTCCCTCTCTATTCTTTCCTGTTCATTCTTCTTGTAGCTCCCCCATTCCTTCTCAAAACATTTGCATAATTTCCTTCCTTCCTCTTTCACACCCCTCTCCGCACTATCTTTCGTTTCCTCCTGATTCCTTCCTTTACCTTCTTGTCCTCCCCTCTCCCGCCGCTCATTCTATGCATGCCTGAACTCGCCTTTCTCACCTACCTCTCTCTCCTGCCAAAAGTTCATCCCCTGCCACTGTCAGCACACATCCCACCCCACCCCACCACGGTCAATGTCCATAGCACTGCTTTTCATGCTTCCGTTTTTAGAGATTTTGCCTCCAAATTATGTTGATTGCTCCTATCTGCTTTATGTTGTTTTATGTTCTCTGCATGCCCGTTTATGCTCATCTTGGCAGATATCTTGATAACAATCAACTCACTGGCACAATTCCTGCTTCAATAGGGAACTTTGCAGACCTGACTTATCTGTGAGCCCCCTGCGAGGTCGTAGCTTGGCTGTACTCCAGGTTCTTCTCTCTACTCTCCTCCAGTTGTCCGCCTTTAGATGCTAGTCCTGACCCATCCCATGCACTCCATTTACCCCTCTTCCTTCTTATCCACTCGCATCAGTTCCGCTGACCACCACCCTCTCTTTCGCTGTATCCTGTGGTTTTGGTGTCAAAAGAGTAGGTTGAATTGATGGCTTAAAAGAGAAAGCACTACGGTTGGGTTTGAGAAAGGCCAGGGAATGATAATCCAACTAACCGATTCTCCAATGGTGAGTTGGAAGATTGGTTTGATGACGGGGAGATCTTATAAATAACCTATGTGATACAAAATGTATTTCATAGATGCTGACGGCCTCATTCTAACACTTGGTACTAGTAGTACACATGCGACTTTAGCCATGACATCTTAGTTGAGAAAGACGCACGGCGGAATTTTCGCGAAATTTTCACCCCCCCTTGCCCAAATCGCCATTCTAAAACAGCCACCGCAACATTTCATAACCCTTAATGCAAATTTGAAAATCCCAAACCTCTCAACCACTCCACATCTTGAATATAGGGGGAAATAATTGTTGTTGGGGAAAATTTTGCCTTGAAAGTGTGGAACGTCTCCCCTCCCCCCCCCTCTTCCCATGCCCTATAACATTTTTTTTTGCCTGCTTGGGGGTTTTTTTTGCCCTGCCCGGGCATGCGTCTTTTGGTGCGTCTCTCTGGTCGTGGTGCTGCGTCCTGCATCTGGACGCATACGTCTAGGACGCAGGACGCGTCTTTCTCAATTAAGCATGAGATCTTGGATAAGAAGGTGGAAGTAATTTGAAGGGATGACCACCACACAGTACGTTGTCTGTCTGCAGACATGCAACTGAGTCTAACATAATTCTCCTCAGTGCCGGTGCGTAACGGAGATTGAAGTCAAGTTGCTATCTAGAGCCGAGGGTTCAAATGCCTGCTGGCACAAACTGCACGTCTCTCCTACTTCTCCTGTCCCCATCATCAATCGCCACTGTCCCACGGACAATGTTCATCGTGATGCATTTGATGCCTTCGTTGCATTTTTAGGGATTCCCCCTCTAATAGAGTTGCTTGCTTATATACGTCGCTCGTTGTCATGCCATGCAAGCCTGAGAGGTATTTCTATATCTACCGTATACCCATCCATTCTCATCATTGCAGATCAATTTCGCACAATCAGCTCAATGGCACAATTCCTGCGGAAATCGGCAACCTTGCAAAACTTAACAAAATGTGAACTCCTGGCAATGCCTTTGCTTGGCCGTACTCCAGCTAATTCTCCTTTCTACTTTTTGCCAAACCTCCTCCTTTTGATGCTTGTCCCGACCCATGCACTACATTGACCCCTCTTTCTTTCTGTCCACTCGCATCAACTCCACTGGCACTGACCACCACCCTCTCCTTCACTGTATCCTGTTGGGGAAGCCACACTGCTGTCTAGAGCCGAGGGTTTGAGTGCCTGTTGGGCTCAGATTCAGGGTAATTGGCAAGGCTCTCTTACAAATCCTTTACCAGCCTAAAGCCTCTCTGCTACATTTCCTCCTTGGCTCTCGTCCCTCTCAATTGCCCTTATCCGTTTCCCCTCCTCCATCTCTATGGTATTTCATACATCCTTTCTCCCCCATTCCTTCTATAACCTTCTGTCATTTCCAGTCCTGTAACCTCAAATTCTCTGCACTCTTCTTGCATCCCTCCATTCCTCTCGTCACACTTCTCTCATCCCTCCTTTCCCCCTGTTTTCCTTCTTTTTTTCTTTTTATCCTACCTTGGTTTCGCCTCTCTCCTTCCATCTTCCACCACTCTCTTGCCTGTGCTCGTTCTATGGTTGCCTGACATGCCTTGGGGTTAGCGAAGATCTCGTCTTTCTCTGCCCCCATCCATCCCATGTTATGGCCAGCACACATTCCCCCCATCACGAGCAAGACTGAAAATCCTGTGAGGTAGACATGAGCATCAGGCGAACGCCGAACATGTTCGCTCGAACCGTAACGAACATGTTTTATGGCCGAAGCGAACATGCTTGGTTTGCCTCATCATTTTTCTGGGTCTTCGTATGTTCGGTGTTCGCCCTAGGCGGACGAGATGCATGAAGAATGATGCAGCTGTAGGCCGATCAGGAGAGTGAGGAGGAGCAATAAGAGTTTGGGGTCCGCATGGGCAGCAAAGAGGTGACGGACTGCAAGCTCTTTACGAAGCTTGCGGTACCAGCACCTCAGCTCAGCGTTTGCTTCAATACGTACAGCGGATTGTGCAATAGAAAAACTTTGTCAACACCATGGACTGCCAGAAGCTCATAACCAGGAGGCTGCATCACGTAGAGAATCTCATCAAGTGTGCTGTTGTGGAAGGCGTTGAGGAACAGGCGGAGGGTGCCGAAGTGGACAGTAGGACCAAGTTGTCATGAAAATTAACAATGTCGTGTTGCTTGAAGCCTTCAACAACAAGGCGGGTCTTGCGGTGTTCACAAGAACCATCAGCATGCCCCTTGACCTCGAAAATCCACTTGCATGGAATTCGATTGCCATTGGGTGGTCAAGAAACAATGTTCTAAGTGTCATTAGCGTGCAGGTCAGTTACTTCTGCATCAGCAGCCTTGATCCTTTCAGCAGCATCAGAGCCGGTGCAGGCCTCATGAATGGTTTGAGGTTCGTAATGATGATGAAGGGCAGCATTGGCGGAGGTTTTGGAAAGAGGAGGAAGGGTGAACTCAATGGGTTGGGAAGAAGAAGGTAAGACTTTGAGCAGTGAGAAATGTAAAGGATCGGAAGAAGCAGTGAGATTTGTTGCGAGCTGTTTTGCGGATTCATAGAGTTCGAGTTCGGCTCGGTGTGGTCGAATAGAAAATTGCATGCCTAAGTGGCGATATACGCTTTTGGCCTTTAGCGTATAGCGTTTATACGCTAGCGTTTACACGCTATACGCTACCAAATAGGCTATACGCTCGCGACTTTTTTTCTGGGCAGCCCCGGCCAAAAATTCCGGGAATATGAAAAACGTTGCCGTTTATTACGGCGATCATTTCGCGGTGGTCGAAATGCCCGTCGGAGACCTAGGGTAGCGGGAATGTGGCTTCAGTGTTTGGACTTGCATTAGTTTTGCAATTTCGAATTTCAGGGTTCCACCGCTTTGAACCGAAGGCAATCTACGAACTCCAACCTTTCCACTACGTCCCCTCCAACACATCGTTTCTCGTCAGATCTACTTCGTCGTACTCACCTAGTCACTCACTCCTAGTCCAATACCCAATAAATGTCTACTGCAGTTCCCAACCGCCACCCGATCCCACTCAAGATAATGATAGGGCACGTCCTCTTTGTGAGACTAGGGAGTACCTTCCCGATGTTGAGCAGGAAGTCTTTAAGCATTTCGCATCATAGGGGAAAAAAAAACTGAGACACAACCTCTGTGAATCCCCCCTGTGAACTATACCTAGGGTGTTTTTTTCAGCCAGCCCGGTTTTTTTTTACCCTGCCTGAAAAAACGTATTCCTGGATTCGGGACCTTAACGTATAGCGTATAAACGCATGCGTATTTACGACACGCGTATATACGCTATACGCGTATTTCGCCACTTAGTTGCATGCCTAGAATGTTCGCCCGAACAATTACACTGTCTGGCTGAACCATTTTCGTGAAAATATATTTGGCTCAACTGCTGTTCAACTTCCTCATGTCTAACCCATTTATTCCCTCCTTCGCCATATCCTGTAGTCTTGGTACTAGTAGTGCGCATGCGACTGGAGTAATGTGATTGTGGATCGAACATGATGCCTTTTCACCCGAACATGTTCGCTTCGAATCTCCTTTGAGTGCCGAGCCGTGTCAAACACGAACATGTTCAGGTTGAGATGTTTTTTGTGCAAACAAACCAGTATAAGCGTACGTTACAGCACTGTTTTCTGAGCTCCACACCCCCCCCCAGCCGGATGGATAATCAGGCATTCGGAGGACCTGCAATATGCATGAACAGCAGAATACTGCCAAATATCAACACGAACATGCTCGCCCCGAACATGTTTGTGTTCGTGGCAAACACATAAGTTTTTGCATACAAACGTGTGCACTCGAACAACAATTTCTCTGAGAAGAATGTTTTCGAGGCAAGCCGAACAAAGTTGGGTTCACAGACATGGATGACTCTGTAGAATGAGGATCGGTGAACTTAGGGCACAATGAGAGAAGAAGAAATATATCCTTAGTAGGAAGATGGTACAAGCCTGAGAGGCTAGAGCAACGTCCTTGTCCAAGTATGAGATCTAGAGAAGTAGGAAGCCACATATATGTGGCTGAACTTTTGAGGCTAGCTGCAGCACCTCAAAGCTGAGGGCAAGGCTAGCCAACCTTGCCAAGCAAGTGAGGCCACATGTTGCACATGTGGGCCAGGCTGGAACAACAGCCCACATGGCAGGATGTGGCACACCATAGGGGTCAGCAGATGGCAATGCGAACTGTGACCACACTTGAGTGTGGCAGAGTGTGGACATGTCATGGTGAGCATAATGAGAATGGGAAGTGCAGCTGCTGAGAGTTGAACCCACGATCTCTAAGACCAATGGTGAGAATACCTCTGGGAGATACTTGCTGCACAACAGACACAAACACGTTCATGTTTGGGTTTTGCTCATGCCAAAAAGCGCAAATCTGTGATTTTGCTCGTTCGGTCTGCAATTGGGATTTTATCTGTCATGTACTGAGCCGAGGCATCCCCTTGTTCCCAACAAATGTGTTCAAACGAACATTCCGAACCAATTTGCCACTAGCACTGCAATGAATATACAAGACATTGAGCTCCCTATCGGCAGTCTGTGTAAATGGTCAACTAGTACGTTCCTTTCTAGCTAGGGTTCGAAGTTGACAGGAGAGTATTCTGTGTTTCTGATATTCTTAACCTACCTCAGATTTGCCCGCCCCACTTTACTCCATTTTGACCCGATTCCGGGTCGGGTCATTATCAGGTCAAGACCCGACCCGGCCCGACCCGATCTCAATAATTGGGTCACGGGTCGACGCGACCTGGCCGGGTATACCCGACGTTTTGAAAGTGTCAGTCCGACTCGGGCAAAACCTGGCCCGACAAAAACAATCTCTTCACCTCTCCTGTCCCCATCTTCTCTGTTCGCGCACATCCCACGGACAGTGTCCATCATACCGCGTTTCATGTCTCTGTTGCACTCACTGGGATTTCGCTGCTCCTATTCGCTGCTTGTTGCCATGAAACATGAGCTTTCCGTATCTACCACGTGTGCATTCTTGTTCATCGTGGTCGTAATAAACTCATTGCCACATCTACGCCTGCGTATCACCTCCATCTCTCGTCCTTTTTTTGCGTGTGTTTTGTTTTTCTCTCATTTGTTTTTGTTCTTTTCTTCTTCTGTTTCCTCTTTTTTTCACAGCATTGATTTTTTTGTGTAGGCGTAAACACAGAACCAAAACAAATGGTTTCTTTTATATGTGCTGTCTGTTTGAACCACCTCAACCCTCCAAAAGAAGAACCTGTTCAGATTGAACCGGTTTGTGAGCATTCCAGTTCTTGTTTCAACTCTTATGAATCGAAGTGCTTCATGCTCGGTTCGATCATGGAATACACGTGCTGTAATATCTTGCTCTATACAACATCCATAGGCGAGATTCTGAGGTGCAGTAATCTCAGCATATGGCCAATCGTTGAGTGTACCCTTTAATGAGACAGAGCATCGGGTCGACTGTCGACCCAACTTGATCATCGGCCAGTTGGCTCAATAAACTTGTTGGCACTGTAAAATTTATGGCTTGCCAGCTCTTGACAATGCCGTGCAGAACCAGTCTCACAAATACTACTCTGTCTAGCCAGTACACTTCGTAATGTACGCACACGCTTTCACCTCTGATACCTTGTTGCCAGTTTTCGAGTGGTTGAAAGCACCTCGAATCCCATGCCTCTATCCTCCATGTTGCTGTGCCATCCTCAGTGACCTCAGTGATAACCAGCTGACTGGCACGATTCCTTCAACAATTGAGAACCTCTTTGAGCTGCGAAGATTGTGAGTGGGGTCACCCAAGTGCCGGCTTAGCTCGGCTCCGCTGCGCACTGCAATGCAATGCAGTGCCATGAATATCTGCCCACAATGGAAATCTTACTCGCTGGAATGTCCGCACATGCCCCACTGTGTTGAGCTCCTCACGCTCCCCGCTGCTGCATCCCATGCGTGTATCGCTGCTGCATCCCATGCGTGTATCGCTGCTGCATTCCATGCGTGTATTGCTTCTGCATTCCGTATCCATTCTCCAGTTCGCTTTCCGGCTCGTGCCTGCTTTCGTGTAATCAGGTTTTCAAAGACCATCTTTTTCCATCGAGATGGTCCCTGCATCTCCACTTGCATCCCTCTTGTATCTCTCTCACCCTACGTCCTCCTCTTTACTCGTTCCTTAAAGGAAATATGATTTTTCCATTCTTCGCTCCCATTACGCACATTCCCTTTTGGTCAATCAGCTATTCAATCATCTCTGTCTCTCTTTGGCGTGTTGTTTGCCCCCAGTGACCTGAGTAACAACAAGTTGTCTGGCACTATACCGGACGAAATTACAGGCTTGGTCTACCTCACACTGTTGTAAGGCTCACACTGTTGTTAGCCTCACACCTAGCACTTCCATTCGAGTAGCCCCTTCCCCTATCCATGACATGTGGCCCAGTACGCTGTTGCGCAGGTGCATGCTCTGTTTCCATGAGTTTATGCAGTTCATGACTTGCATACGCCCAGTACACTGTTGCTTGCTTGGTTGCCATGTGTGTGTAGACTCTGCTCCCAGCCTCACCCACCTCTGGATCCAACCAGGCTTAACCACACCAACAGTTCCCAACACATCTTATTGCCAATGTCTGCTCCCTTGTCGTGCCGCATCTTGTTTGCTTCCTTGTTGAAGCACTCCTGATTCCGTTTCATTTTTTCTGTCTGTGAATCTCCACCTTCCTTTTGTCTCTCCACATGAAGGGATCTGAGCTCAAACCGTCTTTCTGGCACCATACCCCAAGGGCTTTCTACTCACGCCAATCTAGAAGTTTTGTGAGTCCCCCACACACCACCAAACCCATAAAAGGCGTATGCGTAGACGTAAAGTACCAACTTAACCACCAATTCAGTTCTCCAATACTCGAGTGTATGTCTTTAAACTTTGCACTCCCAGCCTCCAACCATGCGAATAAGAGTGTTTGTCATCTTGTCCGCTCTTCCCTGTTTTTTTCGGTCCCGTTCCCCATCCTCCCATTTTTACCCACAGCAACCTGAGGAACAACCTGCTCACAGGGAAGGTCCTCGAGCCCGTGCCACCAGCAATTAAGACGTACAAGCTGGACAAAAACTACTTGACTCAGGGGTTCACGTCTCCCCCACCATGCGATCAGGCCTACATCACATACCACAGCAACTGTGCAGACACGCCAGCAGAGGGCCTTGCGTGTGCCGCAGACAGCCCTCAGAAGACTGACCCCGTGTGCTCTGCCTTCTGCGGGGTCTCTCCCTCTTCCCCCGCCTGCAACGGCCATGGCGTGTGCTTCTTGGACGGCCCCAGCAACACGCCCACATGCCTCTGTGATGAGAACTTCGTGATTGGGGAGTTTCTGGCAGCTGTGTGGCTGTGGCAGGTAAGTGAATTAAATCTCTCACTCATGCAGCATCCCATGGCAAGCCATGTCCCTATTTCACTTACACCTCTATTACTCTGCTAAACGCACCATATTTTCGTACTTTTCTATTTCAAGTGCCTTCTAATAGCTGGCAAGTGCCCCTTTTGAGAGCGCACAATCTGAGCTTGCCTCTCCAACCGTCTCTATGCCTCGCTTCCCAAATTCAGGTGGTAAGACGGAGCAGCAGCAAACTCCCACACCAGCCACGCTCACAGCCACTGGCGACGCCTCAGTGGACGCAACAGCCACGCTCACTCTCACGCCCACCCAGCCTTCCAAGACTGGCAGTGTGTTCCTGGCAGCGCGCGTGCCGCTCTTCTCCTACCAGCTCATCGGGGACACCTGCGGCCGCGAGCTTGCCTTTTCCTCCTCCTTCTCCTTCACTCTTATCTGCCCCGCTGCTTCTGGCTCTGAAGGCTTTGCCTTTGTGGTGGCCTTTGATGCCACCCCGCCCACAACACCGGTGGTGGGCGGCATGGGGTATGTGGGGATGGGAGCGCGCAGCGTGGCAGTAGAGTTTGACACATCCAAGGATGCGGGCAACAGTGACCCTGACAGCAACCACGTGGGCATCAACACCGGCGGCAGTGTCACGTCAGTGGTAACCGCCAAGCCCAGCACCCCTCTCAATGACGGCAAGACCAAGCACGTGTGGATCAAGTATGACCCTTCCTCCAGTGGCTCCCTGCTCGTCTTCCTCTCCTCCAAGGCATCCCCTCGCCCCACCACCCCCCTCCTGTCGGCACGCATCTCCCTGTGTGAGGAGCTCGCCCCCTCCCCATCGGAGTACACCTTTGCCATCGGTTTCACTGCTGCATCGGGCATCCAGGCTCAAAGCCATGTCGTCTCCGCCTGGACCCTCTCCACCTGTGAGTGCACCCATGCATCCTTCCTTGTCTCTCACTTGTTGTTCCTGCCTTGTGTTTTTTGGTAAGGAAAGAAGTTTTATGACCAAAGGACTGACTGTAGCCTTACCCCAATACAATTGCTATGCGTTCTTTTGACCTTTTCTACTTTTTTTCATTTCATTTCTTTTCTTTTGTGTGCAGACTTCCCTATCCAGCCAGCTCCAGGTACGATATTCTACCCTTCTTGTTTTGTTCCTTTTGAGGCTGGTATTAGAGTTGCATCCATAAACAGGTTTCGTTTTGGGTGCTCAGTAGTTCCTGCAGCAATCCTTGTTGTGTCTACCTTGCACCCTTTCTTTCTTCAATCGCAGTTGCAGCGCGGGGCTTTACCTTCGGCGAGGCGGCGCTCTCTCTGTCAGGGATGAATCTCTTCTTCCGCTATGCCAGCTCGGGCAGTAGTGCTTCTGAGGGTGGCCGTGACGTGTATGGTGTGCGCCCAGCAGCTTCCTGGGCCAGGCCTGACTTCAGATGGCCTGTCAGGACACAGACAACTTGCGGTGAGTACGCTTGCACCTCCGCTTGTACGCGAGGTCATACCACACGGTCCACACGGCGTTGACACTCTTTTGGGATGTGGATTGCCTTGTTTGGTGTTTGTAGCAGGTCTGACTGGTTCTCTCTAGGTGAGAGCCGGGCCGTCAAAGTTTGTAACGTAAAGCTGAAAACATACATACGACAAAAACAGGAGAAGTACTTCTGTAACAAGCTATTTCATGGCAATCAAAAAAGAAGTATTATTTACTTTTACAGTGAATAGAAATGTAGCTTTTTTTGGTAAGGAGAAAAGACAGGCTTAGTAGCTCCTGTGAAGTATATGCGTCTAAGCACGAGTGGTGTGACTCAATCTTATGATGGGAGAGATGTGCGTAGCTTAAGTTGAAAATGTCAACGATGAGATTCCTGGATAGCTTACTGCTCAAATTGCTCAGCACAATATTAAGGCTATGTTCGGGGTTGAAGGCAAAGGCTGTCATGAAGATGAGAAGTTACGGCTACATCTGGAAGCTGGGTTGTGATGTCATGTTGCTGATGTCACGTTGCTGCATTTGTGTGGGTCAGATGTTTTTCCTTTCTTTCTTCGGCACCAGGGCTGACGCATAGTTATCTTCCGGCTTTCTTGTTGTTATTGGATGGTTTACTCTTCCTGAATTCCGGCGCTTAGTTTCAGCTGCATGATGTTTCAACAAAAAAAAAACAAAAAAAAAAAAAAAAAACTGAAATCTTGACATATATACAGATAAGCATATTTATGCATATATATACATACATGTACATATATATATATTTATATTGAATTGATGTATCGTGAATTCCTACTAGGGTCTCGCAGCTGTGAAATTCGATGAGAAGTCCTGATTTAAAACGCCTATCATTCTCACTCTCATAACCACACAACACCCAACTCAACCTCCTATCCGAACCATTTTAAATTTCTTAATCCAGTCACTTTCCCACCAGTAACCACACACACACCTCAACCTCCCTATCCCAACCCGTCCCTCTTCAGGGTTCTCTCCCACCTCCCAGTTTCTACTCTCAAGGCGATTCAAACCGCATTTTGAAGTTCACCAAGCTCGCCTCAACTGACATTGCCTTCTCATTGATAGCTGTTGAAAATGGTGTCCTAAAAAAAAATCGGGGGAGGGGGAGGAGAGGGGATGTGCTCTGTCTTCCCCCCATTCTCCCCCTTGGGAAAGCTGTTTTTTTGTATCCTGTGCAGAACTTTTTGTACTGCCCGAAAACGCGTTTTTCCACGTATTTCCAGCCCTGGTTCCCTCACGTATTGCGTATAAACGCCAGCGTATTATACGATGGCGTATAATACGCAAAACGCATATTTGTCAACATAGGTATTTTCCTCGTGCATGGGGTGATCTTACTGGTCTACTACTGCACCATCTGCTGGTGACAACCGTCAGACTTCACACATTGCTTGTATGCAGCTTTGCCTATCCTTAGCACTCAACCATGGAACCCTCGTGTTTGCTCAAAGCAATCCAAGCACCCCACGTGTTTCTTTCATGCAACCTACGCAACCCATGCATGTCTTGGCAGGCGACTGCTGGGCGTACGCAGTGGTGGGCAGCATCGAGGCTGCGCTCGGCATTCTCGCCAACACTACAGTGGCGCCGGTGCTGTCAGTGGAGCAGCTCAAGACCGCCATGAAGGTCGGCTGCTCAGGCAGCACGCCCTCTCAGGCCTTCCAACTGCTGCTCAAGCTGGCACAAAAGGGAGGCGGGCTCATGCCTGAGAGACAGTGGGCAATCAAGAACGGCAAGAAGCTCGTAAAGGCAGGCAGCAGCAGTCCGCTCTGCACGCCGCTCATGAAGCCACTGGCGAAGCTGTTTGGGGTGTCGTGCGACAAGGGCGGCGCTGGCACTGTACGTGCTCATAGCATTGCCGGATTGATTCGACGCATGCTGCTTCGTCATTGAATTGGTTAATTTCTGTGCTGCTTTTAGGCCAAGCTCTAGTTTTTCTGTCTGCTGAGTGCTCGTATGCCTACATGTTGTTCCATCTAGATCTCTGTGAGCCTCAATCCTCCTCCATACCCCTTCCTCCACATCTGCCACCAGCCCCCCGGTGGCTTCCCCATCAGAGGCTTTGAGTCGACGTCCTTCTACGGCTGGTTTGGGCTGCTGCTGGCCGTGCAGCGGCAGCCAGTGGTGGTGCACATTGAGGCTTCCGCTGCGTCCTTCAAGGATTACGATGGGGTGAGGCGGGTAGAGTGGGAGCGAATGAATTGCAGCAAAGGTTTTGAGTCATTAAGTGGGCATGTGCGAATGTCCTTCTTTAAATAATGTGCGAATTCGACCCTTTCTTTCCATACGCATGACCCTTTAACACAAGCATGTGGCGGCTGATAACTTATGACTCTCACTTTACATATGCGCATTTCTTTTATGAGGAAATGGAAGGGTGTGAATGATTATGAGGGTGTGTGTGGCTCCAAATGAGAGTGTTTGTGAATGATTAGGAGGGCGTGTGTGTAATTCCTGCTGCACCCTTAAATGTCCATGGCACTTTGGTTGCACCTGTGGTAGTGTCACTGTCACATCGTACCCACCTCCTTCTGCAATGCACTTTACAAAGGCACATGCCAAATCGCTCAATAAGTTGGCCTACCTTAACCATTCATGCCTTCCCCCAGCTGTCCAAGTACCAGGACCCAGCGTGCTTCACGTACAACCTGAACCACGTGGTGCTGCTGGTGGGGTACCGCCTGGTGGGCAAAAACTCGCGCTTCCCCCACATGGCGCCGCCCTTCTGGATCATCCGCAACTCATGGGGGCCTGACTGGGGCGATGGGGGTCACATGCGCATGGACATCCAGGGGGGGGATGGCGTCTGCGGCATCAACTCCCTGCCGGGCCTCTACCCTGTGGTCAGAGGTGAGTGTGATATCAAAGGTGAGTCTATGGAGTTCCTTGTATTACACACGCCAGTTCAAGTCATATTCGTGATTCAGAACAGGTTTCTAAGACGAGTATGAAGCCAAGGTGAGTGAATGTACATGGGGCACTGTAATCCATCTCATGGGGCCCTCATCAACCGGTTATACTCCTACCACCATTTCATGTCTTAGTACCCATCTCTGCAGTGCTGGCCCATGCGAACCCACATGCGTTGCTACGTGGCACTCCCTGCGTGTCCCTCTTTCTATCTACCTGCAGGTACCTCTGACCCCTGCAGCATAACCGCCCGCAATGATAACACTGGCTCATTCTTCAATCCCTGCGGCAAGTTCAAGTGCACTGTAAAGGGCAACACAAACGAGTGTGACTGCAACGACCCGCGCTTCATCCAAGCAACCAACACTGATGGCTCTCGCACATGCTCTTACAGTAAGCCTCCGCTGCTGTTGCTGCTGCTGCTGCTGTTGGTCCTGCTCCTCTTGCTTCTGCGCCTCCTGCCCCTGCTCCTGTTGCTTGATGTTGAGCCCTCTCAGCAGCAAGATTTCTTGAATCCTCTCACTGCTCTCCTGGTCTCCATGTTCTTCCAATAAACCCCTTCCTTCCCTTTTGCTTCCCTCCTTCCATACCCATCCCTTTCCTCCCCGCCCCGCCGCGCCCCTCATCAGAGGACGCATGCAAGGCAGCCAAGCGCAACCCGTGTGCGGTGGGCACGTGTGTGAATGACGGGGCGGGGTCGTACTCGTGTGTGTGTCCACCGGGCTTCAGGCAGGGCACCACCATCGGTGGCACTTTCTCCTGTGCTCCAGGTTCCTTCTCCTGTGCTCCAGTGTGCATTCGCAACACGCTGCGCTGTAAGGGGTCCGGTATGCACAGAACGCTCAGACCCGGGCTGGTTGAAACTTTATCAAGGCTGGAAAACTTTAGATGTGTGGATGGGCAGGCCGCAAAGCACCAACAACCCCCCTCTACGTGCCCACAGTCTAGTCAAGCTTGTCATCAAGAAGTAGGTCGTCATTAACAACAACGGAAAACACTGAAGGTGAGTATTGAATGGAGATTGAGAAACTTTTTGCGCTAGAACAGGTGAGCCTGGTTGAAACCAACTATACCAACGGTGAACAGGAAGGTTTGTTGTCTATCGGCTTTCAAATCGTAGCTAAGATCACGATTCGCCAAGATCAAATATGGGTTTCCCACGTCCGAGCTCAATCCCAACTGTTTTTTCTGGTCTGCCCTTACGTATTCCGGCGTATCGACCAATAGAACGCAGCGTACATATTTCTGTTGCGTTTATAATCGACATGCAAATTTGTCTGAGCGTTTTTTTCAAGCTCCGTGTACCATCTTTTGTGCTCCAGTGGCGCTCTCCTGTGCTCCACGTTGCTTCTGCTTTGCTCCACTTTCGTTTTTAGCTAGGAAAGGAAAATGGCCTCAAGCACAGCATACCATGAATGGATGAGGGGCAGACAGGCAGAAATCTCAAAAAGATTCATCCAAAGTATAGTTATATAGATGAATCAAGCTGGGAATGAAAAGTTTGCACTTGTGCTGCATGCAGGTGGCACCAACACAACCTACACCGTGCTCTCTCCAAACATCCGCTGCTCTGATGTCTTCCCGGTCTATGGCCTCACGTTCGCCCAGTTCCAAGCCCAGAACGTGCGTTACCCCCACCCTTGAGGACTCTCCATAGGCCCAGTTATTCAAGTGCATTCATAGAACCAAGGCTTGTGTTTCCTACACCTACACTTCTGACCTAACCTCGCCCCCACTCTTCCTCCTCATCACTCGAGTCCACCTGCAGTTCCACTCTCTGTCTTTCAGCTCGTCACTTAAAAGCTCCTGCCCCTCCACGCACGCGTGGAGGCATGCCATGCCTCTCGTGCCTCTCATGCCCACGCAGGTGCATGCCGTGTCTCTTATGCTTCTCCCTCGTGTGCAGCCATCGGTGTCGTGTGCAGACCCCATCCCACCCTCCACGGTGCTCAAAGTGGCCAGCCCAGCCTCTCTCATCCCCTGCTCCGTCTTCTACACCACTCAGCAGGTCCCTACCTCAAACCCTTCCTGCCTATGCGGCAACTTCTCGTCTCCTTCCTGCCTATGCGGCAACTTTTCGTCTCCTTCCTGCCTGTGCGCCAACTTCTCGTCTCCTTCCTGACTATGCATCATCTTTTCTATCTTCCTCACTATCCTCATCTTCCTAATGTCCATCAATCTGTGTCCTGATGTGCCGCACCCAATTCCCTCCATCCCGCTTCAAACATCTTTAAAAAAATGCATTTCGTATACCTCAGATTCACCATGCATTCGTGTGAAGGCACTCACACTCTCATAATATCTGCATCTCCTTGTGCATCTCTCCCTCCTCCATCTCCCTCCATTCTTTCACCTCACATTCCTTACGAATGGAGCCCTCACACTCTCTCATTCCTTCATTCCTCTGCCTTCCATCTCCCCTTCCTCCCCCCTGATCATCTCATCCTCAGGGAGACACCTGTGCGGCCGTAGCCGAGTACTTCCAGATGGACTCGTCCTGCCCATCTGCCACCTGCACGACTGCCTTCCAGGCGCTCAACCCCAGCCTGGACTGCACTGCCAACGGCGGGCTGCTGCAGCCCGAGCAGACGGTGTGTGAGGAGCGCATGAGGGATAAAGTGGGGCTCATCCCGGTGTGCTCGCAGTACTACCTAGTGCAGAGCGCAGAGACGTGCGAGTCCATCCGGAACGTGCCCTACCCCCCTCTGAGCCCCGTTGATTTCTTCCGCCTCAACCCCGGCATGAAGTGCAACCGCCTTATTCCAAACACCGACGTTGGCAGTTTCACTGGCTTTGAGGTGCGTATGTGGCACTGGCTCTGCTCATGCCTCTCTGTCCTTCCTTGTGGACCAACCTTCCTTCCTCCCTGTCTGATATTAACGGACGCGTTGTCTCCCTCATGCTTCCTTACTAGCGGAGACCAACCTGTTGGTCTCTCATGATTGCTGCTGCTGCTGCTGTCTGTGCTCATTTCTCTCCGTCCAGCTCGCCGACTCCTTACTTCCTGGCAGACACCAACATGTTGGTCCTCTTGTTACCGTTGTCTTCTTCTCTCTCTCTCTCTCTCTCTCTCTCTCTCTCTCTCTCTCTCTCTCTCTCTCTCTCTCTCTCTCTATCTATCTCTCTCTCTCTCTCTCTCTCTCTCTCTGTGTCCCGCTCCCCCTCAGGCATGCATTGCGAGCTCCACTTCCTACACTCAGGGCACGTGCCTGCGCGCGAATGCGTATGTGGTGGGGACTGGCGACAGGTGCACGGCCATTCAGGTGAAGTACTTCCGGGGCATCAAGGGCTGCTACAGGCATATCAACGGATACGACTGCATCGACAAGCTCGTCAAAGCAACCCGCGTGTGCCTACCTGACAAAGTCAAGCTTCAGAAAGGAGTGTGCGACAACTGGCCTTCTGCAGGCTGCCTTTGCATTTGCAGTGCAAGCCAGGTTTGGATAAGTCGTTGCGTTTTGCAGGCTGCCTCTGCATCCGCAAATGATCATGGTCGGGTGTGTGTATGCTCCTCATGGTGCTTCGCTCCACACACAATGACTAATAGGACAGGATTTATCTTCTTCGCTCGTGCATGGCTCGTAGGGCCGAGGAAGTGGGGACGTTGGAAGCAAGGGTTTCTGACTAAATATATACTCGAACTAGTCTAGTTGAATCCGTTTGGTTAATTTAATATGCTTTCTAGTCTACTACTAGCATATATTCTCTTCATCGGACAAATTTGGCTGTTCGTCATAAAATGTTCTTCTGGTGCGTCGGGCCTTTTGTTCTCTCGACGTCTTTTACTATATTTGTTACATAAAAATATTAAAGCTTCTGCGTTGATATTGTTAGAATCCTAGCCGCTAAGGGTTTGGATTTCTATTTGTGTAGAGGGTGGTTCGCCCATACCATATTCTCTCGGATAAAACACCCGCCGAAATTGTACACCCCCCGGGTAGCTTGTGCGGGGTGGGTGTTATATCCGACCTCGTTAGTGCTGTACCCCCCCTTTTGGGGAGATTCTCTATAAGACCCGGGGGGGGGGGGGGGGGGGTTATGTGCGGCAAAAGTGCAAATTCCTCTTACATTTCACATAGTTAGGGGTACAATCTAATACTGAAGCATCGCGAACAGTACCTAGACCCAACATTTACTTGGAAACAGCACTAACATCACCTCCTAATTCTGTCTCTGCTCTACGGTGCTTCTCCTGGTGCTGCCTACTCCTCCTCCTCATCGTCCCCTGCCTGCCACTCTTCACACTCTTCTCCGTCATAGCGGTCGGGGCGCCACCAATCGTCATCGTTGCACTCGCCTCCCCGCGTTCTTCAGGCGCGTTCCACTCCTCCTCTGCCGCCGCCGCCGTTGCCTCCGCCGCCTCCTCTGCGGCGTCATCCACCTCTGCCGCCTGCAGCTCCTCGGCCAGCACGGGGGCCTCGGCCTAGAAGGGGTTGACGACGAGCTCGTCGTCAACCAGGTCGTTGACGTCTCAAGGACCTCAACCTTACCCTTGTCTCAAGGATTGTCAACGGGAGTGTTGTTTGGCCCCGTCCTCGCTTGGGCGGAGCCGACTTCGTGGTCGGGCGTGCGGGTAGTGCTGCCGACCTGTAGCAGCGGGCGAGCTGGTCGATGGGGCTGGTCGACCTGTATGGGGGCCACTGCAAGGGCGTCGACTTGGGGACGCCGACTTGGGGAAGCCGACTTGAATGGCCGGCTGACGGATGTGCTGGTCGACTTGGAGCTGGTCGACCATGAGTGTCGTCGACCTGGAGCTGGTCAACCGAGGGTGTGGTCGACCTGACGAGGTTGACTGGAGGTGGTCGTCGACTTGGGTGGTCGACGGGCTCGTGTAGGAGGTGCTGGTTGACGAGATGGTCGACCAGGTGACCCGGTCGACGGGTTTTCCGCCGAGGCACGCGACAGTCGCCCAGGTGTTAGTGGCGAGGCCGACCTCAGTGTGGTATCCCGAGGTCGACGTGGCTGATCAGGAGTAGTCGTCAGCACGAGGACGATCTGGTGTGTGCGCTGTGCAGGTGACAAGACACAGCCCTCCAATCCTTTGCGAGCACCTGCGAAGCGGGTGTACTGCTGTCCTGCGGGTGCAACGCTGTACAGCCGACTTGCTGCAGCGGTGGCACGCTGTCGACTTGCAGTGCTAGCAGGCCGCGACCTTGCACTGCTGGAGCGCGGTCGACCAAGTCGTGCTGGAACGCGGTCGACCGTGCTGCGCTGGCAGTCGTCCTGCTTGCATGCTAGCTCTGATGTAATCTTGTCTTGCCAACTTTATTGAACCATTGTTGTCAACTTTTCCTAGTGAAACTCTTGCCAATTTCCCCCGTGAACTAGCAAGTAGTGTGTGCACAAGGAAACAACTAAGTGAACAAACGCAGAGATCACTCCCACCCCGTGCCTAGCCCGTAGTCTAGCTCCCGTTGATAGAGTTATCTCCGAAAGGATGAGGTGGTCTTTGGTGCCATCGATGCTGGCGGAGATCCCACAGGTGACGAATGACTTGTTCACAAGATCCTCTAGGACAGCTTCCCAGGACTCATCGATCTAGCGGAGAACCAAGTCCGCAGGGGGCTTCTTCAGGTTACCTGTGGGACGGGAAGGGCTTTAGAATCACGAGTGTGAATCTGCAAAGCGTGCGCTGTCACTAAATCAATGTTGCGCAAACGGTTTTCATGGCTTCAACTCACCTGCGCGAGTGGTTAGGTTGATGTCGTCGTCTTCAAACCATGTGCTGTAGCGGGAACGCACCCCGCACTTGAACGCGCGGTTCACCGACACATCCAGAGGCTGCACAAGCGGTGTGCAGCCCCCTGAGATGACCGCCCTTGACAACCTGAACATGCGCATCGTCTGACCGGCGGCCTCCGTCAAGTGGCCGCGGTAGGAGTCGAGCACCACCAAGGCCTCCCGGCGGCGTCCGGTGGTTTCCCGCAGGGACCTCAGAAACGGCTCCAGCACCTGGGTGATCCAGTCCTGCACCGGAGATTCGTCCATCCACCCCTTCTCTTGTGCACGGACCACCACACCTGCCAATCACAACACGAGAGTGTTGTTGGGTCAGGACAAGTGACAGTGTGCAGGGAACGGGTCAAACCATAAACATGGTTCACTTACCAGCAGGATTGGGCACTTTCGGGACAGTCTTTCACTTGAACACGACGTACGGAGGAAGCTTGAGGCCACCCGCCGTTACTGCGAGCATGACAGTAACACGTTCCTTCTCATATCCTGCACTGCGTACGTGAACCGTACACGCTCCCTTCATTTCGATCGTGCGCTCTGCCGGCATCTCCAAGAAGAGCAGAGTCATGTCCGCGTTCACGATGAAGTCGAGTGGGTAGTCGTGCACCGTGCGCATCTGTCGCACAAACTCCCAAAACGCCTCCACATTCGCGTTGCAATCTGTAAACATTGCCACAGCACGCATTAGATCAACGTCGTGGTCGTAAACACAAGCAGATTCATGAATAACTTACCGGCTTCCAACCTCTGCCCCATCTTCGTCTTCACCCGCCTCGCCAAGTGCCAGCGCGAGCGGAAAAGCGTCGCCCAGCGGAACGAAGCGCGCCAATTGACCGACGGCATCCGGTACTTCATGTGCTTGGAGCTCCACTGCTGGAGCATGCGGACCGAAACGGTGAGGCCCTTCGCCCGGTGGTTAAGGAAATGGCGGTACTTCGCCCGTTCTATGAACGGGTACTTCGCCTTGCGGCCGGAACCCACGAGGCGACGGCGGCAGCTAGATGCAACCTCCAGTCGCTCCCTCACCTTCTTCCAGTCGCGGATCTGGCAGGGCTGCACCTTCGCGAGCTTCGCCAGGGCACGATTCCCTAGGTCAGGCTGAGAGTCTTGCATCTTCAGCCAGTGGAGCTTCTCCTTCACAGTGATCGCATGACGCACTTTCTTCGTCATGCGATGGCGAGGGGATGGTGTCTCGCCATCCGCGTTGCGCTTCGGCTGTCCCTGCAAGCGCTTACTCTCCGAGAAGGTGGGGACAACCACTCGTGGAAGGGGAGGGCGAGGAGCTTCAGAGCTACTGCTCGGTTCATCCCTGGTAGAAGCACTACCTGGAGGAGACGGCTGGGGCAAGACGGGGCGAGGTGACGTCCGTGCGCGTGCAGCAGCGGCTGACTGAGAGTTAGAAGGCCGCTGCCGCCTAACTACCGTACTGCTAGAATCGGGTGAGGAAGCCATTCTAATCTACTGCAGATTGGTGTCACTCGCCACAGCTGAAATGCCAAATCCGTCCCCAGTGCTCGCCATTGCTGTGAGAGCATTGGGGAGCAGCCAAATCCGTCAGATCAAACCATTCCAGCGTGAACCAGAGAAGGGACCAAAGGCATGGGCTGCTCTCAAGGGTGTACACGCTCCTGCAATAGTGGCGGTAGCGGTGGTGTTAGAGTGGCAAATGGCAGCACTACGTATTGGAGAAGTTGAAGCAATTGAACAAGGGGTGCATAAATTCTTCAACTTATTGACGTGGCTTGAGGGAGCTGACTTGAACTATAGTGAGCTCCAAAAAAAAACCAAGTTGCTGGCCCTTCTCTCTCAATCATGGTCCTCGCTCATCATCAACTTGAATCGTGATATGCCCCGCCATTCGGTCGAATACGTGTAGCGAGCGATACTTCAAAATGATTTCCGCCTTCGTGGATATGGCCGTGGAAGGGGCAGAGGATGAGATGGAGGAAGGTTTGGAGGAAGCAACTTCAACCAAGGTCGCGGGAATGGTGGTTACGGCAGCGACAACAAGAGCTACGGACGCGGACGTGATCGCTTTGATGGCGGGTGCCATTATTGCAAT